CAAGTATAAAGAAACCTTATTAAAAAGAAAATGATAATTAAAATAAAAACAAAAACTTACGGACAATCCTATATTACTACAATAGTACATTATTAAACTGCTCGCCAAAATCTTTCTCCAAAAGGGAAGAGGGCTTTTGTTTGATTTTTAGACAGGTAAAACGGACAAGACAGACAACTAAATCAAATGACTATTAAAACTAATGATACATCAAAAGCACATTTTGCTATCTTTTGTAAATTTCAATCTTTTAAAAATAAATTGGTAAACTTCCATTTAGTAAAACCACCAGCTTGAGACCCAAATTTATAGTCATGATAAATAAGAAGATAGTTATTCATCTTACAAAAAGATTAAGTACTTTAATAATTACTTCTTCAGTAGCATTTTAAAGGATGTTTCTATTAGTTTCAAAAGACAAGGAAAGGAATGAGGTAAAGATGAAATAAGGTCACTCAAGAGTTGGTCACTGTTAAAACTGGATGATGGATACACATCTATAATAAAGTTTTTAAAATCCTGTTTACTAAAAGTCTACAGCATTCCTTTTAAAATAACTTATCTATATGTGTGCAAATTAAGATAAATGTGGGTTCACTTAATAAAGTTTGCTTTAAGGGAGACTGATCAGAAAGCCATTCATTTTATAATGTCTGCAACACTGCTGGATATAATGCAAACCACACATGCAGTTTTAATTTTCTAATATGTACATTTTTACTAGTCAAAAGAAACAAGTAAATTTTAGTAATATATTTCATTTAATCCAATATGTCCAAAATATTACTTCAACATAAAATCACTACAAAATATTATTGAGATATGTACATTCTTTTGTTCATAGTAAGTCTTTGAAACCCAGTGAGCATTTTTAAAACACCTCATCTCAATGTGGACTAACCACATTTCAAGGGCTCTACAGTTACATGTGTCTAATGACTACTGAATTGCGCAATACAGGTCTAAAATATATGCACTAATGTTTCTCAGGTTCCTACACTATTCTCAATAGAACACAAACAAAATTTGAAAGAAGAGTAGAAAGAATGAATTTTAAAGGGACCTTTCCTTTCCTTTGTGTGTGTGTGTGTGTGTGTACACTTGAATTTTCACAAGGATCTGTTAATAAAGGTCTTGAGCATTCTAAATAAAATAGTAAACTAGCCAATATAAACCTAAAACTAAAACCTAACAAAGACATAACAAGAAAATTAAGTTACAGATCAATATGCCTGATAAACCTATATGCAAAAATCCTCAAAAAAAACACTATCAAATTGAATCTAGCAATACCTATCAATGGTTGATAACCATCAAGTAGTTTTTATTCCAGGAAACAATGACAGTTCAACATTTAAAAACCAGTCAACATAATTCACCATATTAACAGAAAAAAAGAAGTATAAAATCATAAGATCATCTCAGAGAATGCAGAAACAATAACTGAAAACCCAGGCATTAAAATACCTCAGCAAAATGGAAACAGAAACTTTCTCAACCTAACATAGAGAACATCTATGAAAAACCTACAGCTATTATTGTACTTAATGGTGAACATCTGAACCTTTCCACTATGATTGGCAACAAGGCAAGAATGTTCACTCTCACTACTTCTATCCAATATTGTAATGAAGGACCTACTCAATGCAATAAGACAAGAAAAAGAAATTAAAGGTATAATGAGTATAATGGAAGAATCCTAATAAGAATTCTCAACAAACAGGATTTAGTATATTTTAAAATATATTTATGTTTTTACTTAGAATCAAAAGATTACTAACTTTACTTGAGGAGTATGTTAGAAAGGTACATGGATTTCACTAACTAAAGTAAAATGTCTTCTCTGAAATGAGCCCATCTTCAAGTCATCATATTCACCTGGAGGTATAGCAGGCATAAATAAGTTCCTCCAAAAGCATTAGCAAGTTCACAGATCACAAAGGAAGCACATATATACACAGAAAGTAAAGGCATCTAGCAGAAGATGTGCTTTACAAAAATTAAGATTCCAATTTTTACACTTAAAGTTGAGCATATCTCTGGGCATAGTTTACCGCTGTTTTATGATCAAATTAGAAATGTGTGACCAAAACCCAAAAAACACTTGAAAGAAAAAGGTGCTGAGCTCCATCAAACTGCAAGAGTCCCACAACAAGACTCACAACATTTCTCTGAATTTACTCTACCAGATAATCATTCAAAAAGAAACAACCAAAAACTTGTTCCTACATTGTATATGAAGGGCCTTTTATCTCAATATAATCATAATAGGATGCAATGTTTTTCTTAAGAAGAAAGAGGTCCATGAATCGCCACTACAGAAAATGCTACAGTGATCCCTCAAAAAAGTTAAAAATACAATTACTATATGATCCAACAGTTCACTTCTGGATACACACCCAAAAGAACTGAAAGCCAGGTCTCAAAATAGATAGCTGTACACTCATGTACACTGCAGCATTATTCACAACAGCCAAAAGGCAGAGGCAACTCAAGTTGAAAGGATAAACAAAATGTGGCCTACATATACAACAGAGTATTATTCAGGCTTAAGGAAGGAAATTCTGACATGTGCTACAACATGGATGAATCTTGAGGACATTATGCTAAGTAAACTAAGCCACTCACAAAAGCATAAATACTTCCCATATGTGCTACCTACAGGCATCAAACTCACTGAGACAGAAAGTAACACAGAATGTTGGTTGCCAGGGTCTGGACCGTAGAGGGAGAAGAGAATGGGGAGTTACTGTTTAATAGATACAGTTTCAGTTTTATAAGATGAAAGAGTTCTGTGAATAGATGGTAGTAATGGTAGGTGACAAACAATGTAGATGTACCTACTGCCAGTCAACTCTACACTTAAAAATGGTTAAGATGGTATATTTTATGTTGGGTATACTTTCCCACAATTAAAATTTTTTAATGTAAAAAATAGTACCATGTACTTTTCCAAAGAGAACATAATATTATTTTTTTCTAAATGATGAATAAATGCCTCAGAACCCAAATCTTTCAATGGAATCTGCCCGTTCATGAATGTGATGACACAATGATAAGTCATGAGTCATCTATCCTACAGGGATGACAGAGCGACTATAAGATGGAAGGGCCCTTCACAAATATAGACCAACAGAAAAATAGTATCACTTTAAATATTCCTGTTGAAGTTATGACACATAACTATCTGCCATTAGAAAAATTCACACATTTAAGGCCTTATTATAGATAATCAAGGAAATCTTTAAGTGTTTTTTAAAAACAGTATATCCATACAATAGAATATTATTTAGCCTTAAAAAAGAAGGAAGTATAGACACATGCTACAACATGAATGCACCTGGAAAAGGTTATATTAAATGAAGAAGTGAGACATAAAAAGCCACATATGATGAGCCCATTTTCATGAAATGTCTAGAACAGTCAAATGTATAGAGACAGAAAGTAGACTGGTGGTTACTTAGGGCTGGAGGGGATAGAAGGATAGAGTATGATAGCTAAAAGGGCATAAAAGGTTTCTTTTTGAAATGGTGATAATGTTCTAAAATTGACTGTGGTGATGGTTATACATATCTGTGAATATACTAAAGCCATCATCTTGTACACTTTAAATAAATGAATTACATGGTATGTGAATTATATCACAATAAAGCTGTTTTTAAAAACTACATAAAGATTATAAATCCTGTTGTACCCATGACTCCATCATCCTCAACAATCTTACCATTTTTCCCATTGTTCACTACTCCAGGATTTAAAAGAAAAAAAAGCAAATAAATATAATTAGTGTTCTTACCATGCCAACCTGGTCAATGGTGTCTTGAACTCTATCCAAAAGGATAGAAATTACCTCAGGGTGAACGGCTGTGATGGCCCCTAAAAGCTCTCGACCAACCTTTGAAAAAGTCTCTCTGGTAGACAAAGTGACATAAGACACCTAAAAGTGGGAGGAAGTGGAGAGGGCACTTTTAATACCAAGTGTCAAAGTACACTGCCACATTTTAGTTAGGACGTTTTCAAGCAAACTAGAAAGAATCTCACACTGAACCTTGGTTCACACCATGTTCAAAAACATGTCAAACTTCAGAAAGCAAACTGTCTATCCTGAGGCTGGAGGGTGGGAGGAGAAGGAATGGAGGAAAGTAGTTGACAGTGAGTTCAAATGCTGGATTCAGAAAGTATATGTTAAAGTAGCAATGAAACAGTCCCTTGGGTGTTAAAACTTCTCTAAATTTGATGAAATCTTTAAGAGATGAAAATCAAAATGCATTTCACAGAAATACCAATTTCCCCTACAAAATAAGATCCCCAACTACAAAAGCTTCTAAAATATCAATGTTTCCAACTCTTCTTGAACAATGTTTTCCAAACTACAGGTTACAATCCATTAATGCCAATGACCAGCTTTTTTTAATACAAAGGAATAGAAAAGAAAGACAACAGAAAAAACAGAATAGAAAAAGGTGAGTGTGCAACCAGTAAGATTAAGTATTGTTGCAATTTCACACATACACGTACACACACAGCATCAGAAAGTAGAATGAAAATTTTAGAGTACTAGTCAAAGCACTTGAAACATTACTCAAGAGCATAAAATATTCCTTTAGCAATGGATCTGGAGAAAGCCATTTAATGTACATGAAAATATACCTGCTTTCCCAACTTTTTCAGACTGTGAAGATAGTCTGGAATTCCATCTAGGTCTTAACCCCATGCATGTCCACAAAGCAGAAGTATAGGAATACCTTAATAGAGTATCTGATCCTGAAAAAGAACTTTAGATTGTCCAGTTCTGTCATTCTCAAACTGGTGTGTTGGAGGGAAGATAAGAAACTCAGAGAATCTTCTTTGAACACAATTTTACTTGAGTTACTTGGATAATTTGGTGGAAATATTTTTTACGAATATTAACAGATAAATGATAACCTCAACTGAAAATGTACACAAAAATCCAATGGGAGTTTTGACAACTATTTTCGACTACATCCCTAGACAGTCGGGAGGCCAAAGTTCACTCTCCTCTACCATCAGGGATGGCTCAGTGACAAAGTGAAGAAAGCAAGGACCTCATCCAAGCCTGTCATTTAACAGATGAAGCTGAAGCCCAGAGTGGTAATGTATTTTTTTCTGATGGGAGATGGGCAATAGCAGAGTTAAAACAAACCCAGGTCTTCTAACTCTAGGTTCAGCATTCATTCCATCATCTATTTAAATTGGCTGGAATCCAGGTTTCCCTGTTACTGGCAGGGTCAGAGGAGTTGGGTGGCAAGTAGGGAGAAAGACAGCATAAAACTACCAGTCAGGCTGTGCCAGAATATCTATTCCATGCCAAAACTCATGCATGCGATGTCAGTAAATAGTAGGGGAAAGTGGAATGGGCATGGTTCATTATTTTCAATACTCTGTATACCAAAGTGATTCTTTATATCCTTCCACTAGTGTAGACAGTACAAGAGAGTCACTTTTTTTTTAAAGCAATCCCAGAAGAATCAATGGATAGAAAATTCAAAAGAAAACATTTTTTACCTAATCTCTAAAACTTAATATTCTAACCTCATATATCTCCAGAACAATTATTTTTATGAAGTCTTCATCCACATTGGTTCTTCTGGCTTGAGCCATCTGAGCAAATGTAGTCAGAAGGCAAATCTCTTCCGAGCTATTCATGGAGGAAAGACACTGCTCAAAGTTCACAAAATGTTCTGGGTCTGCAAGTTCACATCAAAAAAATTAAAATGGGGGAACAATAAATATATGTCACTTCAACTATTCTTCTAGAGAGAAAAGAATATATAAGAGACATTTAGAAATACTTAAAGATACAGAAGGTCTTTCCTGGTCCCAGAATGGATTTCCACGGGCACCAAGAAGAAGCCTGGGCCAGATGAAATTCCAACTCTAAATAAATATAATGTAGCCTCAGAGGCAACACTTCACATCTATCTCCATGCCTCAATTTCCTCATATGTCTTAAAAGGTGATTTAATATTCAATGACATGTCACTGGTGAAGTGTTTTGTCAACTGCAAAACACTACCACTGCCACCAGGTGAGAAACTTCTAAGCCACACTTGAATCTACTTGGTCACTGTCAGCCAAACAAATGAAGGCCCTGCTAATGAAAACTCTTAAGTCCAGCAAACTACTCAGCATAAACACTGTATTCCAAAGAAAAGATATTTGCTTATAAACAGAAAGTAGAGGTATGAAATTCATTATAACCATTACTGAAATACCAATGAATGTGATAAACAGTATTTTACCTATTTCTCAAAGATGCCATGAAAGCACTATCACATTGTCACTATGACGCAGTACTGACAAATAGCTGTGCGGTGCATGACAGAACACTAAACGCTGCAAAGGCAAAGTTATACAGAGGGAATGAAAAAGAAGTCTGTTTAAAAAACATATTCCCCAATGGAACTTTTCTCAATAAGAAGGCAACGAGCCAACAATTCTTTCCATATGTTTACACATTTGAGAAATAAAAGATAGTCCATCAACATTCCTTTATTTTCAAAATAACTCTATGGGGCATTTACCAACCCAGTTTTTATTTGCTGTGTCCAAATTAGGCTTATGATAGACATTACCATCCAGAGAACTTCTAAACTAATGAAAATTGGAATTACTTTTCTAAAAAGTCAAAACAACAGTCTCTCGGATTTATAATTATTACACAAATACACAGAGTAAAATGTTCTTAGTCCTTCTAAAAGTTTAATAAAGCAATGAAGAGAAAAGGCACAGACAGGTGGGAAGTGATGGGTGTTGCACATTCTGGTGAGTCTGTACCTTGGAGCTGCCTCTTGCACTCGGAGGGTTGGAGGGTGGTGCAGAGCCCCTCCAGATCCCCACTCTCTACCTGGTGCATAAGGTAGAAGAGCTTCCAGAGCATCTGGACTGACAGTGTCCCAAAGGGCATTTCTGACATAAACAGCCAAATGCCAAGTCTGCAGGTTTGACAAAGAATAGGAATAATTTTATGGATCAGTCAACTTCACCACACTGCAAGTTAGATAAACCTTCAGCTCCGACAAAAAAAAAATTCTTACATCACACTACAGCAATTTTTTAACACGCTTCGGTCACAAGCACCTCCAGAATGAGAAACAGCAGCAGCAGACACTCACAAGCACTCGGAGCTGGCACTGCTCTGATCACCCCATTGTACACATATTACCTCATTCCACCCTCACTAAACCCAAGGCGAGTACTATTACTGGTATTAGCCCCAATCTACACAGGGGGCTACTAAGGCACAGAAAGGGTAGTAAGAGGCAGTGCTGTGTTTTGAACCAAGGACCCTTTTAAGACGTGAACAACAGAGAGGCCCCTTAATATTATGCATCTGAGCACACATACAGATACATGGACATGCGTGCACGAGGTGGGAGGTCAATCAAAAACTCTCCGGTGACTTCTCAATCATCACCAAAGGAAGTCAGGCACCCACAATATATCTCAGACCCATATTTCCAACCACAGCCATCTCTGCATTCCCAATATTAGACCATTCCTGGGCAAGCCTGGAGAGAGCCCCCTCCCACCAAGCCACCATCCCTCCATTTGTGAAGCCCTCCACTATTTCCTCTTCAGCACTATTACAGAATTCCATCGTACCTTGCTTTGGCATTGCTGTACCTTTTATCAGTGGTTCCAATAAAAGGTGGCTCACATTGTAGTGGGCAGTAAATCACTCCAAAACTCAGTGGACAATACAGATTCCCAAGGCCCACCCACAGAGATCCTGATTTTATAGATCATGGCTGGGGCCCAAGAATTTGCACTATGGGCAGTCACCCCAGGTGACTCAGACTCAAGTGGTCAGTCCTTAACCAACCTCAAGCTACTGGGGTTTATGTAAACATAAAAGCCACAGCAATTTAAGAGCAGAAACTAGGTTTTGTTCATCCTTGTATAAGTAAGTATGCAACCTAGAGTCTTATATTTTAATTATCCAGTACCTAAACCAATGTCTCAAATGCAATCAATACTCAATAAATGCTGATTAAAATTTTACGTTATGTGAATTTATCTCAAAACTAGTCTTCAAAAAACAGAGGCACTCAAAACTGTTGCTATATTGTGGACAAAACTACAAATTGACCAATTATAAATAAACAAAGCTTATTATGAGAAAAAGAAAAACAAACTAAATGGTACAGGCCTAACCTACTTCTACAAGTCCCAAACCACCACTGACCTAGACTCTGGAAAGCAACCACTACACTCCTGAGCAGCTGCAGAAGAAACTTCCCTTAAGTTCAGGTGGGCCAAGCTTCTGTCTTATTAAATAATTATCCTAACACCTCACATGGGACCTGATGTTATACAACAGATCCCAAAACAATGAAGGGAAATTGTAAAGGCCTTAAAAGCAATGTCACAGGACAATGCATATTTAAGGATACGAAATTCCATATAAGACAGACATGTGCTAAATCTGGCTTAGATTTTTGCTGTTTCGGTTTTGGTTTGTTTTAGGCTGGGGGATAGCTAATGTCAGAAACTTCCACTGGAATGCCAAAGAACTTCAAATTTCATGGCTTCAAATATCTGATTCTCATATAACTTCTTTCCTATAATAACTACACTCAACAATAGTTCTCAATATTTAAAGTTTAAAATAGCTGCTATCCTTATGAATTACATATATAATGTCACAGGAGGGTTCACAGCTCAGTATATACAGCTAGTAAGTAACTATGGTCTCAGATCAGCAAGCACAAGAACAAGTGACAGATCAGAGATGGAGGACTCTTCCCAAGCACTGGGCCAGCTTCAGGGGTACAGTCTATGCACTGGCCACCCACCCACCACTGCCACGGTTCTGCACAGGACTTGGTTCAATGTCTAAGAATACATAACAAAGTAATCTGTATTTCCAAGCCCAAGTTCTATTTATCTCAGAGCCATGCCTTCTGAGTGCCCAGAAGTGGTTAAGACTTAGTCAAGGATCTTTCTCTAAGCAAGCAGTTACTCTGTTCTTCATCTGAAGCCACAGAAGAACTATCACCACGTACATGTGAAAAGTCCTTCATGGTTTAAAAAGTGTTTCCACATATTACTGTACTTCATCCTTGCAACATAGCCATGAAGTCGATAAAAGAGGTAGTATCACCATCTCCATTTTATAAATGAAGAAAGTGAGACCACAAATAGTAACTTACCCAAGATTAATAGATGTAAATGGCATGACAAGATTCAATCCAACTACACAACACACAATAAGTAAAAAGCTGAGGCTAAGAAACCCATGGACAAGAGGGAGTGAAGCAAGGTCAGAAGGCAGCAAAGGTGGGGGAGAGCTGGCAGTTCATAAGCAGAGCTACATGCAGCTGGGGGCCGGCCAGTCTCTCCTAGAGGAAGGCACTATGCTATGGCAGAACTCGCTCCAATGCTTAGCCAGAAGCACAGGGAAGACAGTGCAGGATGCATGGCTGTGCCCCTGCCTCTGCCTCAAAAGTACCCTACATTGTACAAAGCAGTACAGACAGTGTGATCAACAGACAGCATTTACAGGGCCAAGACAGGGGACCAGGAGTCATGACAGTCCTAGAAATTAAAACCCTCACAGTAAGGCAACTTAAGCAGTAAAATCAGCAAATCGTTTGTTGGCCTCAGAGATGGGTGTGAAATAGAATTCACAGTGCTCAAGGCTAATCTAAAAGTTCAACAGTGGCAAAACTGAGGTATTAGAATTGGGTTATTTTAACACTGAAAGAAACCTGAAAGAGAAGGCATTTCAGTCAACACTACAGATAAGCAAACTACAGCACAGAATTTGCCAGAGACGAAAAAGAGATGAAATACACAAAGACATTATAGGTAGAAAATCACTTCAGTCAACTTTCATGCCGATCTTCCCCATGTGGCCGGGGAACCATTTCTTAGCAACCATCACCGCACGTCTTACCTTTTGGCTTTCAGCACGTGGAGGACGGCTCTCAAAAATAGCTCATCAAATTCAACCTGTAGTTTCTCTGTGGAGTAGGGCTGCTGGGCCAATCCCAAACCTTGGTTGTGGCTCACATACTGTGCCCAGTGGTCACTTACATAACCTAGGGTTATCCTGAGCACAGGGGTGACAGAACAGCACTTTTCATTAGCACGCTCAGTATTGGCACCTCTGTTACATTTGAAGCATTAATTATTCAATTTACTGAATACTATCTTTTAGGTTCTATAGGAAACTCGACGGGGGTAAACTCTACCCTCATGGAGCATATGTCAGGTGGGGTGCAAATAGACAATAAGCAAAATAAGGTAAAATGTAGTATCATCTGTCACATGGTTGTAAGTCACATTGAGAAAAATAAGTAGAAGAGGAAAATAAAGATTTTTTGGAGTTGGTAGGAGGGGAGGCTGGCCTAAAGGGGTCGGTTGGGAGTAGGAAAGGCCTCACTGAAGAGGGACCTGTGAGGAAGATGGGAAGAAGGCCCAGGGCTGTCTAAGGGAAGAGCATCCAGGTAGAAGAAACAACCAGGCTCCGACGTGTTCCATATGTTGGAGCAAGAGCAAGGCAGCCAGTGTGCGGGCACGAACTCAGCTGGAGAGGAAATCAGAAAAGTTTCAGGAAACTAGACCATTGAGGGTCCTGTAGGTCACCGTGAGGGCTGCCTTTTACTCTGAATGAGACTGGGAGCAGTAGGGTCTTGAGCAGAAGAGTGATGAGCTTACTCAACATTTACAGGGAACCCTGGGTACCATGAAAATAAGCTGGGGGGTGGGGAGGAGCACGGGCAAAAGCAGCAGAGTAATTCAGGAGGCTTGTGATGATCAGGGAGAAGCAACCAGGACTGAACTGGGGTGGCAGCAACAATATGGGTGAGAAGTCGGCATCTGGAAATAATAGCATTCTTCATTGACTCAAAAGCATGCATTCTTCCGCACTTTATTCTCTGCAATTGGAATGTTAAAATCGATGACATGCCACAATTTGGCTGTCTTTTTCTCTCTTGATCGCACTCAAAATACATTTTCAGAACTGCTGGCATCTTAGATTTGATGAAAGATGGTGTTTAAAGGTAGAAATAACAGAACTGGCTGTTAGGTTGGGTGAGGGGTGTAACAGAGAAAAGTCATGGATGACACTACATGTTTTGGCCCGAGCAACCAGACAACTTAAGTTGCCACTTACTGAAATTGGGAAGACTAAGGAAGGGGCAGTTTGGGAGGTGGGAACAGTAAGTTCACTTGGGGAATATTACTGAGAATGTTCATGAGTCACCCAAGTGAAGCTGCTGGGTTGGCAGCTGGATATACAAGTTCTTGAGACAGGGAAGGGCTAGACTAGAATTCTGAGAATTGAAACAGTATTTGGGTATTTAGAGACAGGAGAATAGATGAGATCCCCCGAAGCAAGTCCGGATAAAGGGGAGAGGTCCAGGGACTGGGCCCTGAGGCACTCCAACATAAATTTGGGAGGGGAGAATGAAACCAAGGAGATAGGAAATGGAGAATTCAGGAGAGCATGGTATTTTGGAAACCAAGCAGAGAAAATGTTTTAAGGAGAAGGTGATCAGCTCCAAGCAGGTTGTTCTGTGAACAACATGAGCATGTAAAGAAGGATGAAGACAGAACTTCCCAATGGGTCAGCAGCCAAAGTTCATTAGTGACCCTCATTCTTGACAGCAGTTTGGGTAGTTTGGGGGAGAAAAGTCTAATTGTGAAGAGAGTACAAGGGAGAATGGAGGGAAAAAACTGGAACCAATAGTTGGCCTGAGCAGAGGGACCCTGTGGCAAATTGTCTACAGCTGGAAGGTATGAGAAAACTCTGTGATAGATACAAACAAAAGTAAGCAGATGGACCACAAAGAAAGAACAATCATAATATACAATTATCAGCTGCAAATACTTTCATAGAAATAATAATGTGAAGAGTGAATACTGGTCTTAAAACAATAGTAATAACAATACTTTTCATTATAGTAGTAACAATGCCTGCAGCTATTCAGAGAAGCAAATGAGAAAGCATAGTCCTAATACATAGCTAAGCACTCAATCCTATACCACAGTGTGATTCCAAGTATGAATTTTACCTTATTTACCAAGCAGAGTCAGAAAATGAATGTCTGGACTTTTGGTAACATGTAGATAGACTTTCAGCTTTTAAGAAACTACTCCAAGTCACCAGCCATCCCTCTTTCCACCATGTCATTTTTATTACCCTTTACAAAGGCTCTCTCTCAACCTTAAAAGTGACCCCCAGCCTTTCATCATTTATCTGGCTTTATAAAACTGATGGATATACATCTAAAATAAATTAATTAAAATAGATTTTGTTTTGGGAACTAAGGTGGGGAGGGGGAGAAGTTTTGTAGATTTTAGAGCTTTTTTGAGAGGGAAGGGAGGTTGGAAGAAATAACAGCATATTTACATGCTGTAGGGAATGACTCAGTAAAGACAGAAAAACTTATGATGCAGAAAAGTGGGTATAAGATTAATTTAATGAAAAGCAGTAAATATTCTTGAAATTTATTCATACTTGATAATAAAAATGTAAACCCACCTTTCACTCAAATTATACAGTGGCCACTGATGAAGTCTGCAAGTTTCTTTCAATGCCATTTAAGAGAAATTAGAATAAGAATAAATTAAGAGAGAAAACAGAGAGACAATGAGGCAAAGAGCTGTTGCCAACTCTCCGTAACTAAGTGACAATTCCCAGGCAACAGCTAGGAGGCAGAAGAAAACAGACAGCAAAGGAAGGGGAAAGAGCCTGCATTTTCCTTGACCAAGTTGTTTCTCTGGACAACTTCAACCTGGCAGCTGCTTTGAGGATCTTGACTCCAAGAACAAATATCTAGCAAACCAGTTAAGTTTGAGATAATTAACCAAATATCTAACTGGAAGCAATTAAAGAATTCCCATCTGTAGATGGTAAAAAAAAAAAGTTGTTACTTTGTGAAAAATAAGACTTGAAGTATACACTAAAATGTCCATCCTCATCTGCCCAACCAGGATGAAAGTGAATAGGAAGGGATGCATCAACAGCTGCATTACCTGATCATGTAACCAACTCGCTTCACAAACTGCCTGTAGCGCGCTCTATTAAAGGTTTCCAACCCCACAGCCAAAAGTTCCACTAGTGAGTTAGCAAAGGCAAAAATTTTCATCATCTCTTGAGGTCTTGTTGTTTCAGGTAAATAATCACCTAGAAGTTAATCAGAGAAAAGGAAAAAGTTATAATTACTATAGAAAAACACTGAAGGATATAGGTGTCAATACCTCAATGAGGAAACCAAGCCAAGACTAAGAAGAATTAACAATCCTCATTGCTTTGGTTCTTAGGTCAATGTGAAATGGGAAACTTGAGACAAAGTACAAAACTAAAACAATTTATTAAAGCTGGGCAGTGTGCAAGCTAGTTAGCCTTTTTGCAGTTAAGCACTACGTAGGAAACAAGAGAGGGGAAGCCGCCTCAGCAAGGTGTGATGTCATCATCTCCGTATAGTATGGCCAGGCCCAGGGGAACCTGAGTCAGGAGGCTGCATGAGATGTTAAGACTTGATGCTGCCTTCCGGACTGAGCTTGCCACTACCATAGTTGATGTATGACAAAATTAGACTACCTTTTGCTTTAACCCCAAGAAGATGTTGAAAGAATTCATGAAATGGAAACTGTGATAAAAGGACAACCAAGTCATCTTCATCAAGGAGAATCCAACTGGTCTCAGGGTCTTCATCCTAAAAGAAAAGATGCAAAATCATGTCTGCTGATTTGATCAGATCACACTATGGTCTAGAGTTACAGAAGCAAGATTATCACAGGTCTCAGTGATATGTGTGAGGTACTCTCATGAGTTTTCATGGAGTTCTCCTCCAGGACAGAGATTCATAGTATCAGTTCCATAGATGGGCTATAAATCCCCTGAAATTGCAATCACAATTTTACGTGTGTCTGGGTCACATCCATTCATTAGTGGTTTAAACTGCTCTCATTGAATTTCCATTCCAAAAGAAGATTTAAAAAAAAAAATCCTTTAGAGTGGGGATCTTACTATAAAGCTCAGTGCTTTGACAACATCAATTAAAGAACCATGTACTAGAGTCCAAGTTATTTTAGGTACAAATCAAAATCACTTGCCCAAAAATCAAGGTCTACTGTAAGACTCAAGAGACTTACCAAGAAGCAATTAGCATTTACTATGGATAACTGAAGTTCTGTTGTCAATGAGTACTGCTGAAAGCAGGATAACAATAACAATGGTCATACACAGGGATTATACAGGGGAAATCCTTCAGTTTTTTTGTTTGCTACAGGGCAAAATCATCACCTTACAAGCCAAATTGATTTGTTTCCCAAGATATGCTACATTCAAAAGAAAATGCTGTAAAGAGATCCAGAAATATTGAAGAATATCTCACCCCAATTTCAAAAAGGGAATAATGTAATCCATTCATATTTCCTTAAGCCACTCATTTTTACTCTCTACATGTCCTAAATGGCTAACAAGAGCCTCAAAAAAGAGCAGTAGTTCTCAACTCTGGCTATACATCATCAGGGAGGCTTTTAAACACATGGATGTCTGGGTATGGGCCTGGGAGAGATTAAGTTGCCCATGTTGCTCTAATATACAGCTAGTGTCAAGAAACCACTGATGTGGAGAATCCAGAGTGCCTTGCTAGCACTCTGACACTGTCATCTACTCCCCAAGTTCTGAAGTCACTCAACATTTAGTGAGTGCTAGCCAGGAGCCAGGAACCATTGCAGGATCCTTAATCATCATCTATCTCTGGAATTAAATGCAGGAAACCTACCAGAAAAAAAAGGTTTCTCTCTCAGGAGAGACCACTCTTAGAAACAAAACAAAACAAAACAAACAAACAAAAACCCCTGCCCCATCACAATCTTGTAAGACCAATTTGCATGAGCTCCTGAGAATCTCTCTTCAGGATGACTGTTGATCTCTACCAAAGATGTCTGCATGTCTACATCATTTACCACCATTTCACCACCACCTACAAATCCCAGGAAAAGTAAAATGAGTATGAAGGGCTCTCCATTCCTGAATGAGCCCCACAGCAGCAATTGCTATTATTCTGAGAACTGTCTGCTACACTTTCAACTCCTTTTAAAGAGAAAGAGTTTTAGTAAATCCAGTCCCTAGCCATCCTGGACAAGTACATCATATCAGGATCTGGACCAAAAAAAGCACTAGGGCTGATAACTAGCTGGATTCCTCACAAATACACTAACCACAGGTACAGTAGAAAGAAAAATTAACAAGTGTTATCAAGAGAAACTGGATTTTGATCATTAAATTATCACAAGAAACAGAGAACCATCTTCTACCTTTCAAATGAGAAGATCTGGGCTAGATAGTCTGTATGAGTTAAGGTAGAACCTTGGTAACTTCTGGCTTTTTATTATACACACTCAGATTACCTGGAGATGGTATCTCAAACCCAGAGACAAACAAAAACATAAAATATATAACAAATATAAAAGCATAAAACAAAATACTAATATAAATTTTATACAATGTGAAAATATTTCCAGGCTCCAAATGCTCCCAGCTGAACAGGAAGATATTCTAGAGAAGGACATGGCATAGCACGCTGGCTTAGGGCACAAGCTCTGCCATTTAATGACTAAATGATTTGGGACAAATTCCTTCCCTGAGCTGTACCTGCTTCCTCATCAGTAAAACGGGATCACATCAGTACTTGCCCCATGGGACTGTTGGAAGGATTAAATGAGATAATATGTGAAAAATTCTTAGAACAATACTTGGCACATAAGAAGAGCACAAAAGTGATTAATCAAAACAATGCAGACATACAGATTACCTCTTCTCCTCCCTCATCTACGAGTGTCCACGTCCCAGATGCAGGTCCAGAGGAAGATGGCTTCTGCTCACTGGGCTTCATGTGGCATAGGAACTCTGCTCGATTTCTAAAGGACAAGGGAAATCATTCCAATCACATGAACACAGAAAGCCCAGGTGCATGCATTCTGGGTCTTCCACTCACCCTGAAGAAGAGTCAGCCATGGACCCATCTTCAAGTGGCTCAAATTAGTGAACAAGCAATAAGAACTGGCTGGAACTCAAGGAGACTAAAACCTCACTCACTTTGGAATAGACCCCAAGTGTTCTGAATTAGTAAGGAGGAGTAAAGCTGCAGACAAGCGGTTGTATTGGCCCAGCTCCCACACACAGGGATCCTCCATATATATGGATTGCTGCAGAACCCTCACTATAACCAGGCTTACAAAGTATGGCCAGGTAGGTGACTTTAGGGAACATGCTTTATTGAGTAAAAAAAAAAAAAAAAGAATTTATAAGGTGTAGAAGCTTTTTTGGGCAAAACAGTAAATCTAAACACAAAAACATTTTTAAGTCAAAACATCTACCATGTGTAGGGCAGGCCCCTGGATCCAGACAGTGGGAGAGAGGAACTGGGGAGAACTGCTGCCACCAGGCTTCACAGGTGTTGACTGGATCTGATGAACAGGTGTAACCAAAGAAGTTTCTTCTCTTGGACCAAAATCCAGTTCTCAGTCCCCTGTTCCTTCCTTGCTGACCTGACCCTGAAAATTCATCCATTCCTTCCTTTAACCAGGAACTTTCCTCCTTGACTTTCAGCTCTGTAGCCCTCCTGCTGCCCTTTCAACCTAGCAAGCTCCAATCCTGAAGCTCCAAATGTCCACTGCTGTCTTTAAATATGTCCACTTGTATGCCTTAATGGCTTTAATCTTAGCTCCTTATGAAAGAGCTCTCCTTTCTCTCCTTTCAATCTGTTAGGGCTGCCAACGCCCTCACGGTAACTCAGACTCAGTAGTCTACAGGACTATGACTGAACCACTCCTTTCCCCATTTTCCTTATTTGGTCACCTTCTTAATCATTTTCTGAGAAGATGACGTGTAGGCTCCCCTTTGTCTCTTCCCCACCACCATTCCCCCAATTCAGGCTTCGAGGCAGATAGGCTTTCAGGACCGAGAACCAGTAGAAGTGACATTGTTCTAGGTCACCTAGGCACAGCCTCTGCCTTCTGCCCCAGTTAAAGATGGGCCCCCTTGATGATGAGTTGGGTTCCAGAGCCCATGCAGCCAGACATCTGTAACTCTAATTCAACTAAGCAGAAGCACATCTTCTGCCTCAAGTCCTTCTTAATCTTCCTTAAATACAACTTTTACCCTTGTTCAAAAACCTTAAATTGGCACAAAGGCCAGAAAATATCAAACCTAGATCACTCTGTCTTAATGTCAAGGCCTTCTATAATCCAGCTTATCCTAGTCAGGCATCTTTATCACTGTCTCCCATGCTCCCCTTCACTCCAGCCAAGCTGCTCTCCTACCCACCCGTCCTCCACACTGCTTCCCTCACTGGTAATCTGGTCCACTGCTCACTGTTCCCACCTACAGTGCCCTCCTTACACCTCTCCTACTAAAACCTGTTCCATTCTTCAAGTCCAGCTCATCCACTTGGAACCCAGACTGACTCCTCTACTCTACTCTCTTTATTCTCTTCATTTCTATTGCATCAACCAAAGCTTCACGATTGAGCACTTCAATCTCTGTGATTTTGTTTTTCCTCTGCTACTAGAATCTCTTTTTCTAAGGAACAGATGTTCTTTTTGTCTCCCCACAGCACCTTTCATGATGACATATGACAGGAAAAGCAAACCCACTAAAATGGGAGGCCCCCGAACAAGGTTCATCATTTATACATAAGCAGTTAATTGGGTCACTTAGAAACAAAGTATCAAACCCACAGAAAATCTGCACTGTTAACTTCTGGGATGCTGACACTTCCCTTAGCCGTTCTTCAGACCTGGGCAGCTTAGGAAGCCTTTGGTAAAAAAGAAGCATTTCAGTTTCTACTTCCCAAGGCTCTTCCACACTTACTTGACCGGAGACATTAGCAGGGCAAGGGACTGCATAAAATGAAAGACCCCTGATGGGTTATTCAACACCTTGATCTGAAATCAGAAAGGAAAAGGCATACTGTAGACAACCAGCAACCCAAGCACCCACCATCTTGGTTCCCCAGCACTTGGGAAAAGGGAGCTGTTAGGAGGCAAAGATGGGCCTGGCACGGTACCCACAAGCGTGAGAGCACAGCTCTGGGTCACCCGGCAGCACCGGTGCGGCTGTACTCGGACAGCAGAAGGAGCTGAGCAGTTATGTCAGTTCCTCGTGACAGTATGGGACGAAGGACACCATGGCTATTTCAATCCAAAGATAAAACTATTTCAATCCAAAGATAAGCAAAACTTAACAAAACAAAAATCCTCCTTCTACCTAAAAAGAGTCAAACTTCTTGCCACCAAAAATACTAAAGAAAAGGTAATGTGGAGAAGTTGAACCTGGCTTCTATCCATCTATGTGGCTACTATGAGGAAGCAAACTCAAAGGCAGGCAGCAGAGAGGAGACCTGTAAACCATGTCATCACTGCCTAAGCTGGCTACATGAGAGACGGTCGATTGCACAGGCCTGGATCTCCACTAGTATGAAAGAACTTCGAGATGCTGGTGGTTTCTGTCTTACCTATACCAACCATGGTGTGAGACAGATTAACTTGGGAAGCCATGTTGAATATTATAGAAAAATGTCCTAGCAAAACTTTCTGCACAGAAATTTTACAGAATTAAATGACCAACAACTGAACTTTGCAAATGTATCTTAATTTCATCAATTATGGGTGGCCCAAGAAGTTCCAGCATAAAAACTCCTGCAAATATACACTGGATATATTTTAAGAATTTCATTTTAAATAACAGTATTTTTTAAGTAGCCCTTTTTAAAAAAAAAGCAATTTCTTCTAGCAAAATGTTTAGCAAAATCTTTCTTAACCCCCTCAGAATCAGAAGGTCATTCACCATACCTGGATGAAAGGAACAGCCCATTTACTAACACCAGCAGGGCATCGAAGAATATGGTTTAAGAGGAAGAAGTGATCTCCAGGACAACCAGCTCTTTGTAACACTGATACCTGAGCAGCGAAGGACATACAGTTTCACTATTTAAAAAGAAAAAAATCTGTATCTGGGGGCACTAGTAAAGTCACTTAGCCAATGTTTAAATACATGGAACTTTCAAAAGAATAACCAGACATAAGATTAGTTCTATTGATGGGCTGAGTTCCTACAACAGAGGCACACAGAGGCTATAAGTCTATGAACACTGGGATAAAAATCATAAGCAATTTCTCTGCAAATCTAATTTTTATTATCTAGCAAATTACAAATCACTATCATTCCTGGATATATGTGAATAGATGTAAGTCAAGTAGTGTAACCTATTCCCAGTTTGTAAGTTTCTCAAATCCATGTAAGTATGCTTGGGACCTCATCCCATATTTAAGAATTCTAAAATGAACCTAAAAAAAAGCATCCAAGGCTGCTCATTGTGAAACACAACCAATAAACACCCCCCACTCTGGAACACACCTAACAGCTGTTTCCTAAGTTTCCCAAATCCTGGTATCTTACTTTTTTCCCTTCAAAAATGTTTTAAAGCATGACTAAGTGCAACATGAAGCAAAAAATGACAAAAATAAATGATTCGGTAAATTTTTAGATCAAGATACCTATATTCTGAATAGGCATCTTGTCTTAAATTCAGTATGCTTCCCACATTTCCAATTCTTCCTAAAATGAAGACCCGAGATTTTTTTGCTTAAGGTTTATCAGAGAGAAAAAGCACTTTGTGTTTAATAATGTACCAGATAACTTATTTCCATGTGTCATAATCAAAGAAAATGTCCCTAAGTAATACATTAAATGAATTAGCTGAGAAAGCTGTTGGGAAAAAATTCATAATGAAATAAGAGATAATTCTTAAATTATCAAGGAAATAAAAGACTACTATGTCTATGTCTGTTCCCTTACCAATTTCTGCAGCCAGAGAAGAATATTGTCATGGAACTGAGTGTCTTCGTGAACTCTCCTGGTGAACATGAATAAGACACTAACGCACTCCTTTAGCTGACACAGATCAGAGGGAACGCTGTCTGTCTGCTCAGAAGCTATAAATAAAAGACAGGATTTAGTGAGTCCACATAAATGCGGTTTGGGGGAGAATCTGTAATGTCTCCACTTAAAAACAAAAACACCTCTTCAAAATATTTAGTTCAGATAAAAATCTAAGGAGAAAAGTTGCCTCAAAATATCTGAATGCCTACTAAACACATAAACCAAAAAAATTTTTAACTTTGTGACATACTTCAAAAGCAAGGGAAAATTAACTTCACCAAAATTTATTTTTTACTTAAAAAATCAGCTCTCTGGCCTAGCCCCAGCTGTTTGGTTAGTTAGAAAAACAATGAGGCGGAAGGATTTTTGCCTTTAAATGATCTTAAATATCTCTCCCAGAAATAAAAATTGCACAATTAACCATAATTAATAATTAGCACATCACACAGTAAAGGCTAATTTCTTAAAATCCAAAAAAAAAAAAAATTCAGAACATTATATAAATCCTGGACAAGCAAAAATAAAGTGCAAGAGACTGGGGATGGAAAAGTATTGGTATCAGTTTTGTACTCAAAAACTGTATTTGGACTTTGCTTGGTAACAAACATGTAAATTAGAGGACAGTAAGGGTCACTGATGATAAAAGCAAGCTCTTTGGCTTCCTAAAGAAGCAGAGAATGATAGCTACAGCACCCTGCTCCCAAGAAATGTTATTAGGGCAGATCTCGATCCTCTATTGGGGAAGACGAGGTAAAACAGCAAGCACAAATGGTCTCTCATATAATACCAATTAGTTTACAATCAATTCAACCTGACTGTACCCCTCGATTCTTCTTCATTTCACACCACAAGAGGAAGATTTTCATTTCCTACACACCTTGGCCTTGCTGATGAATTGCTAAAGTTCTCAGGACAGCGGAACTATTGAGTAATGCATAGATGTAAGACTCCACTTGCAACCTTGAGAGCACAGAAGTGTAAGAATGCAGAGCCAGCGTCTGGTGGAGGTGCTCAGATTTGGCATCAAATAGCTTCTTTAGCTCCCCCAGTGCATTTTCATTCATCTCTACTCTTTGGTAGCGATGATAACCTGAAACTCTCACTTGATCTGCACAGATACCCTAGTGGTAGACAAAAGAGTAAAATATGAAACCAGTTACTTTTTGCACTTGAAATAATCAGGCAGTAAGTATACAATGCATAGGATTCAGTACCATCTTCAAAGACCTTACAAATCAGAGTGAAGGGTCAACACTACCATGTAAATAATACTGTTCACATAGAACAATAAATCACACATATAATTAGGTGCCAAGGAGTATGCCATCACAAATGCATCACAAGTTCAGGGAAGAGAAACCCTAAGAAATATATGGAGAAACGTGCAAGAACATAACAGGACTTGTCCCTATGACTCTGATGACTGATACCTTACTTTCTACCCTATAAACACTGAAGTCAATGCAATATTCCCACAACTTCAAGGGACCTCAAAATACTGCTGTACCTACTCTCATCATTCTTTGTGATTCTGCCCAAAAGAAACCCCTCTCCTTTACAATACTGACACCTTCAACTGTGCTCTTGATTCTACACTCTTTTTCAATAGTTTCAAATGCTGCCCTCTCCACAGACTCTTTTTCATCTACCAAGAGAAACACAGGTCTCCCAATGAACAAGGACTAAGGGGAGGAGAAATCACATTTTGCCTTGATATCTCATCCAGCTTCCCTTCACTGCCAAATTGTTAAGAGTGGTCTTTTCCGTCTTGTCATCCCCTCCAGAACACTCTGAAATGGCTTTCCTGGAGGTCACCTTGGCTACCCTAGGATCACATCTCATTGCCTTTCCTCTTTCCTCACCATCTCTCATCCTTGTTCTATGGATCATCCTGTCCTTGATACTCACTACCCATTGGATGTTCCTGGCTTTATATGCAAGGTCACAAATGAAAATGATCCACAGGCTGCATGTGATCTGGAAATATGACTTGCTTAGCCTCTACTGTGTACGTGTGTGTGTGTGTGTGTGTATGCGTGTGTATATTTCGTTCTACATTTACAATTCAGGATCCCTCACATAAAAATTCAGACTTCTTCTGTTGCTTTCCTATACACTAATGATGAACTAGCAGAAAGAGAAATCAAGAAAACAATTACATTCACAATTGCATCCAAAAGAATAAAATACCTAGGAATAAACCTAACAAAGGAAGTGAAAGACCTATACCCTGAAAACTACAAGACACTCTTAAGAGAAATTAAAGAGGACACTAATAAATGGAAACTCATCCCATGCTCTTGGCTAGGAAAATTAATATTGCCAAAATGGCCATCCTGCCTAAAGCAATCTACAGATTCAATGAAATCCCTACCAAAATACTGATAGAATTCTTCAATGAACTAGACAAATTGTTCTAAAATTCATATGGAACCACAAAGACCCTGAAGAGGCAAAGCAATCTTGAGAAGGAGAATAAAGCAGAGGGATCTCGCTTCCCAACTTCAAGCTCTACTACAAAGCCACAGTAATCAAGACAATTTGGTACTGGCACAAGAACAGACCCACAGACCAGTGGAACACAATAGACAATCCAGATATTAACCCAAACACACATGGTCGATTAATACACAATAAAGGAGCCATGGATATACAATGGGGAAATGAGAGCCTCTTCAACAACTGGTATTGGCAAAACTGGACAGCTACATGTAAGAGAATGAAACTGGATTATTTTCTAACCCCATACACAAAAGTAAACTCAAAATCGATCAAAAACCTGTGAATGTAAGTCA